AAAAAAGTCGAGGGTACAAGCCTGTGTACATATTTTCATTTCCGAGCAAAGGAACTACTCTTCCCATAAACCACCGCGCCTCACTGAAGTCGTCTGAAAGCCACCGTGAAAGAGCCTTTTGAGCGACTTCCAAATCTGACGACGGGCACGTGAACTTTTTCTCCAGTGATTTTTATATAGTGAATGTGCAGGGAAACTCCTTTTCCCCGATTTACTGAAGTAAACGCTTTTGCATTGCAGCTCAACGTGCAAAAACATTGAGTATCTGGCTCGCTCATTAGCTAAGCTGTGGCAACGGGCGGGCGTCTCAGAAGTGCGACCAATGAACTTAGCCCTACGTCATTACGCGATTTTCAGTCTTCACGTACCTTCGCGGGGTTTCAGACACGTGATACGACTTCCACCAATCAGATGCATCACTGTTGGATTGTTCAGGATTGTGGGTAATTAAGTACTTATCCAATACATCGCGAATAAAAGGCATTCATCTTAAAACAAGGTTAGTGCCCCATGAACTTTTGCCGTTTATATGATCATATACAATCGCTTAACAGCCGTAGCTGGTTTTAAGTCTACCATGTATGGTTACGTTTTTTATGGCTTATATCCCGCTGTGGGCGGAACTGTGATGCTCTATGACTAACCATAGACATAATATATACATATATATATGTATATAATATATATATATATATATATATACATATATATATGTATATGTATATATATATAATATATGTATATATTATGTCTATGTGACTAACCCTAAGAGCGATCATACATGAGTAAAAAGTTATCCTAAATGAAAGAAAATATGCAGATTTTTTTCTGAAATCTGTTTTCCTCAGAAGAATTTTTAAGTACATGATCAAGCCTAATATTATAATACGGAAAGCTTTAGATAAGCAGTAATGTTTAAGAGATCTAATATTCGCTCACTCTGAAACATACTCAAATGCTCCTGAGGGATTGGCATTTAGCAAATCACACACATTTACTCATTTGCATACTCATACGCTTATTTGCATATATTCATAGCACACAGTGGAGCTCATTTTAAACAAACAAACACACAAACAGTAAAAACACATTTGAACAGGGTTCAGAGAATTTCCACAAAATTCTCATCAAATGTAGCAAAACTTAAGCAACATCCTAAGCAGACGCTTTGGACAAAACAGTGCATGTCACATGGGTTTTGTCCCTCTGTGGCACCTCTGCAGTGCTGCAGTGATTGGGATGGGAGGGGTCACCATAGGGGCTATGGTCACCACCACCTCAAAGATCATGCACAGAGAAGTCCAAATTAAACATGATTTAATGACTCGTAAATGTAAGGACACATTGATGGCCTAAAACACGAAACGAGCGGTTTGTGTGAGAAAACGAACAGTATTTATATCGTTTTTATGTCTTACAACCACAGCCACGTCCATGGTTACAAGAGGTAAAAACGATATAAATACTGTTCGTTTTCTCACACAAACCGCTCGTTTCGTGTTTTAGGCCATCAATGTGTCCTTACATTTACGAGTCATTAAATCATGTTTAATTTGGACTTCTCTGTGCATGATCTTTGAGGTGGTGGTGACCATAGCCCCTATGGTGACCCCTCCCATCCCAATCACTGCAGCACTGCAGAGGTGCCACAGAGGGACAAAACCCATGTGACATGCACTGTTTTGTCCAAAGCGTCTGCTTAGGATGTTGCTTAAGTTTTGCTACATTTGATGAGAATTTTGTGGAAATTCTCTGAACCCTGTTCAAATGTGTTTTTACTGTTTGTGTGTTTGTTTGTTTAAAATGAGCTCCACTGTGTGCTATGAATATATGCAAATAAGCGTATGAGTATGCAAATGAGTAAATGTGTGTGATTTGCTAAATGCCAATCCCTCAGGAGCATTTGAGTATGTTTCAGAGTGAGCGAATATTAGATCTCTTAAACATTACTGCTTATCTAAAGCTTTCCGTATTATAATATTAGGCTTGATCATGTACTTAAAAATTCTTCTGAGGAAAACAGATTTCAGAAAAAAATCTGCATATTTTCTTTCATTTAGGATAACTTTTTACTCATGTATGATCGCTCTTAGGGTTAGTCACATAGACATAATATATACATATATTATATATATATACATATACATATATATATGTATATATATATATATATATATATTATATACATATATATATGTATATATTATGTCTATGGTTAGTCATAGAGCATCACAGTTCCGCCCACAGCGGGATATAAGCCATAAAAAACGTAACCATACATGGTAGACTTAAAACCAGCTACGGCTGTTAAGCGATTGTATATGATCATATAAACGGCAAAAGTTCATGGGGCACTAACCTTGTTTTAAGATGAATGCCTTTTATTCGCGATGTATTGGATAAGTACTTAATTACCCACAATCCTGAACAATCCAACAGTGATGCATCTGATTGGTGGAAGTCGTATCACGTGTCTGAAACCCCGCGAAGGTACGTGAAGACTGAAAATCGCGTAATGACGTAGGGCTAAGTTCATTGGTCGCACTTCTGAGACGCCCGCCCGTTGCCACAGCTTAGCTAATGAGCGAGCCAGATACTCAATGTTTTTGCACGTTGAGCTGCAATGCAAAAGCGTTTACTTCAGTAAATCGGGGAAAAGGAGTTTCCCTGCACATTCACTATATAAAAATCACTGGAGAAAAAGTTCACGTGCCCGTCGTCAGATTTGGAAGTCGCTCAAAAGGCTCTTTCACGGTGGCTTTCAGACGACTTCAGTGAGGCGCGGTGGTTTATGGGAAGAGTAGTTCCTTTGCTCGGAAATGAAAATATGTACACAGGCTTGTACCCTCGACTTTTTTTGGATGTTCTCTTCGTTTTTTCACTTGAAATGATGTATTGTATGCTTATGAGTTCAGCCGTAGCTGGTTATCCTCAGACATCCTCTAATACTCTTTAGATACGGTGTTCTGCCAATTTTTGCTGCCTTGTCGAAAAATGCTACGTAGCGCGAATTGATCACAGAATTCCGATTAAAGTCATACGAAATACAATTATAACACAATTCTAAGTTATGAGTAGCTTCTGTATACTGCAGAGTACTGTTTTTATTTTTAAAACGGTGTGAAAAGTAAAAATTATCATAAAATATTCATCTTTGACTTGTCAAAGTACACCTTTCCTCATAGTAACTGAAACATTCAGTTATTCCTTTTCAGCTGGCTGACCGTACAAATAGTCATATGATAGTAATCATTTTTTAATGGGAAATTATACATTATAACAGGAAAATGTACCTTTTGTAAAAAAAAAAAAAAACTGAGTCTGCACATGCGCATAACCGGTAAGTAGCAAATCTTGGCTGACATTGAAAATTAATAATGTTTTGATGCCTGACTTGTATTTTAATTGCAGCTCAAATTTAGTTTTGGAAAAAAACAGCCATTAATTGGTTGTCAGTATTGGGCAGAATTTCTATATTGTATTTTGGTTCAGATTTAAGCATTCAGTAAGTATGACACAGATTTCATGTTTTAACAGTAATGTTGATTTTGCTGTGTTTTGCATATTTCCCTCTTAAATTTTAATGCTGTCAAAGTGTCTTCTGGTCCTGTCGCTTTCTCTTTCTAATCCCCAGACATCTCCGTCATCATTTCCCCCTCTTAAGCTCTTTTAGCTCTAAGTTTAGTGGTAATTCTGATCTGACTTTCTTTTGGAACATGAAGCGCAAATGGTCCACTATTGCTTAAATGGTTATGATTGAGCCGTCCCCTCAGATAAAATGTGATGAATAATTCATAGGGTTTTCAGATTCTAGTGAAAATACGGCTTATTAATATGCATATTTATATGAATATGGTTTGAATTATTCTACTTTCACTCAGTGGGTTTCCTGGCCTGGGGTGAACTAAATCTATGTTAAAGAGATAGTTCACCCAAAAATGATTTGCTCACCTTCAAGTTGTTCCAAACCTCTATGAATGAAAAAAAAAATAAAAAAAAAATAATGCTTGTAACCAGACAGTTGACGGTAGCCATTTGACTTCCATATTAGGGAAAAAATTCAATGGAAGTCAATGGCTACCACTGTTTGTTTTGGAACAACTTGAGGGTGAGTGAATGATAACAGTTTTTAGTTTTAAAGGGTTAGTTCACCCAAAAATGAAAATTAAGTCATTAATTACTCACCCCCATGCTGTACCAACCCCGTAAGACCTTCGTTCGTCTTCGGAAAACAAATGAAGATATTTTTGATTAAATTTGAGAGCTGTATAACTACCACATTGGCTCCTAAAGGACTGCCTCTTGACGGCCCAGAAAGTCAATGAAGAAAATGTTTAAATATCCCATGTGACTACAGTGGCTCAACTATATGTTTATCAAGCGACGCGAATACTTTTTGTGCGAAAAAACAAACAAAAATAAAGAGTTCATTCGACTATTTCTTTTCTTCCTTGTAGGCCAGAACGAGACTTCCTTAGATTTCCACGACGCATGCGGGAGAATTGCGATCTGAAGTAGTGTAAGCTGGTGTGAGCAGATCGCAAATCTCGCGCATGCGTCGTGGAAATCTAAGGAAGTCTCGTTCTGGCCTACAAGGAAGAAAAGAAATAGTCGAATGAACTCTTTATTTTTGTTTGTTTTTTCGCACAAAAAGTATTCGCGTCGCTTGATAAACATATAGTTGAGCCACTGTAGTCACATGGGATATTTAAACATTTTCTTCATTGACTTTCTGGGCCGTCAAGAGGCAGTCCTTTAGGAGCCAATGTGGTAGTTATACAGCTCTCAAATTTAATCAAAAATATCTTCATTTGTTTTCCGAAGACGAACGAAGGTCTTACGGGGTTGGTACAGCATGGGGGTGAGTAATTAATGACTTAATTTTCATTTTTGGGTGAACTAACCCTTTAAGGGTTAAGGAACTATTAAACAGCCATTCTGATTGCAATTAGAATACTAAGTGCATTTAATTTAGTTTTTCTATTTATTTTTGTTCACAGGTAAATCCCACCTGGCCATCGTTCAGAAGGTGAATAGTGAGGGCGAAGGAGATCCGTTCTACGAGGTTCTGGGGCTGGTCACGCTGGAGGACGTTATTGAGGAGATCATCAAATCTGAGATCCTGGACGAGTCTGATCTCTACAGTATGTTCAAGATAGTGATTTGTTTTCTCAGTTTTCATGTTTCATGAGAGTTTTAAAACCTTCTGATGCTTTTCGGTCACTTTTGATTGTAAATTTGGTTTAATAAGTATTGTGGGACTAGGGCTGTGAAACGATTAATCGCGATTAATCGCATCCAAAATAAAAGTTTGTGTTCACATAATATACGTTTGTGTAGTGTGTATAATTATTTTGTATATATAAATACACACACATGCTTGTATATATTTAAGAAATATTTGCATGTATATATGTTTATACAAAATTAATTTTATACATAAATATAAATCTTTGATACACATTTTTCTTAAATATATACATGCGTGTATTTATATATACAAAATAATTATACAGACTATACACACATATATCATGTAAACACAAACTTTTGTTTTGGATGCGATTAATCGTTACACAGCCCTAGGTGGGACACTTGCTATGTTAACACAAGGGGCGAAAAAATCGTCCTAAAAATAGTCACACTTGTACTTCTAGCGGATAAAAATGACCAACATAGAAATGAATAGGAAATAAAAAAAAAACATTTAAAATGACAAAAATCTACAAATCAGTCACGATGCAGAAAAAAAACACAGCAATAAAGAGGTTACTTTAAAAATATTTGTGAAAAATAAATTTATTCATTGAATTGTACAAATTGTGGAAACAAATTGATCATAATTATTTCATAAATATTACTTAGTACCATAAAATTCCCTCAAATACAAAATATTTTTGAACAAAAAAATATTACATAGATTTTACTGAAAAAGAAAGTTCGGTCACTTTTGACCGGAAGGAGTATGAGTGTGAGGAGCAACAGAGGGTTAATGCATCTGAATCTAATTGGTTCAATTATTAATTTATTGACCTGGACTTTATTTTCCAAAAGCATCGTAAGTAGATTGTAGAAACAATTGGTGCCAATGGCTTCTATGATCAACTTAGGCGTAATATGCTTTTGGGAAACAAGATGAGTGATTGGTTGAGTGATTGATTTTTTTTTTTGGTCTGCTAGCTGACAATCGTAACAAAAAGAAAGTGGATCCCAACAAGAACAAGAGGGACTTTTCCGCTTTCAAACATGAGAGCGAATCTAAAGTCAAGATATCCCCGCAACTAATGCTAGCAGCGCATCGTTTCCTCGCTACTGGTGAGCCGTGGCGTCTATAAGACACTGATTCTCTTCTCACTCTTTGAGCTTTTACTTTTTTGCAAATAACTGGTCATTTTGGTTTAACCTTCTTTCCATAGAGGTGAGCATTTTCAGTCCACTCCAGATCAAAGACAAGGTCTTACTGCGAATCCTCAGGCATCCGGATGTCATTCAGGAGATCAAGTTCAACGAGAGCGACAAGCACTCGCCTCTGCACCATTTATATCAACGTGGAAAACCTGTCGACTACTTCATCCTCATCCTTCAGGTGAGTGAAACTGATCGGTAGGTCTGCAATGACAGTTCAGCAGAAAGCTCTGTAGACTTGATGACCATTAATATATCTACACTGCGTGTGTGTTTATTCAATATTTAGGTTAGTTAAAAAAAGTGCATTTAAATCAAAACTAGGGCTGTCAAACGATTAATCGCGATTAATCGCATCCAAAAATAATAGTTTGTGTTTACATAATATATGTGGGTGCACTGTGTATAATTATTTTATATATATAAATACACAGACATGCTTGTATATATTTAAGAAATATTTTCATGTATATACTGTATATAGATTTATATATAATTTATATATAATAATATATAAATAAAAAATCTTAAATATACATGCAAGTGTGTGTATTTATATATATATATATATGAAGAGTTCAGATGCAAAAGCCTTTAAGTACCATTTGAAATTTTCTTCTAGAATGATAATTTTGATCAAGCTTGTATATTTAAGTTCAGTGATTTCACTTAAATGGCAATGATAATTACCTATTAATTGTTATTTAAGTGAAATTACTGAACTTAAATATACAAGTTTGATAAAAATCATCATTAAAGAAGAAAATTTCAAATGGCATTTAGAGGCTTTTGCATCTGAACTCTTCATATATATACACAAAATAATTATACACAGTGCACCCACATATATTATGTAAACACAAACTTTTATTTTGGATGCGATTAATCGCGATTAATCGTTTGACAGCCCTACAGAAAGTGTGCTACTTCCTTCAATAATCAGTCTCCTGTTAGTGAGGCTTGCTAATCCAAATATCATTATTACTATTGCTTTGTACTGACCTACTGAATTGCGTTATTCATTTCTATTCAAGACAAACACTCCCTCATAGATAGGGCTGGGCATCGATTAATCGCGATTAATCACATTCAAAATAAAAGTTTGTGTTAACATAATATATGTGAGTGTGGTGTGTATAATTATTTTAGATATATAAATACACACACATGCATGGTATATATTTAAGAAATATTTGCATGTATAATCATTTATTCATAATTTATATTAAATATTAATATTTTATGTATTAATAACACATTTTTCTTAAATATATACATGCATGTGTATGAATTTTTACAGTATATACAAAATAATTATACACCGTACACACACATATAGTATGTAAACACAAACTTTTATTTTGGATGCGATTAATCGTGATTAATGGTTGCCCAGCCCTACTCATAGATTATAAAACTTAGCGTTTTATTGCATTAGAGTTTGTTTTGAGAGATGGTTTGGTTTGTTGGACGGTTTGAGAGAGGGAGAAAAGGTCAGAGAAGTTGCCTGTTCCCCTTGGCTGGTACCATGTGATTCACCCGATTGCATCCCATGTAATTCATCACCATTTCACCTTGTGGAGTCCCCATGACATTGCTCCAGGGACGTCAGCTGTACAACCATCCACAAATATCTCTCTCTGCCTGTCAGAATTCTTTGTACTTACAGGATTAGATGCATCCCAAAATAAACTGGATTTTTTTTAGGAAAATATGAGTGATGCTTGCTTGCCTGTGCAAAACTTACTGGGATGTTGTGAGCAGGGCATTGCTATGTGGTTGCTAGGGTGTTTTAGGTGGTTGCTAAAGCATTATAGAACAAGTCTAGCTACTTAGAGCAGGCTAAATTGTAGATGGTATTAAAGGTATTGGTATGTGGTTGTTAAGGTCTTGCTATGCCTAAGGGTCTTATCTAGCGAAACGATCGCTCATTTAAAAAATAAATAACAAAGTTTAAGTTTTATAAGCACACATGCTCTGTTCTGTGATGCTTGTTCGTGACTCTCCTGTTCAAACTCGGTCATCAAAATGAACATCTTTTCCGAGTCATGACTCTAAGGGTCCTAGATAAGACCCTTATTTTATCGTCTGGTGTCGTTTAAAGCCTTTTGAACAGTTTGCACTGAAACTCTCATTTGGACCTTGAACCGTTTGGTTCCCATTGAAGTCCATTATATGGAGAAAATCCTGGAATGTTTTCATCAAAAACATGGGGGTGAGTAAATTATCAGCAAATGTTTTTTTTTTTAAAGGGTTAGTTCACCCAAAAATGAAAATTAAGTCATTTATTACTCACCCCCATGCATTTCCAACCCCGTAAGACCTTCGTTCATCTTCAGAACACAAATAAAGATATTTTTGATTGAATCTGAGAGCTGGATCAGTCCTAGATAGACTGCCTAAGGGACTGGCTCTTGACGGCCCATAAAGTCATTAAAGAAAAGGTTTAAATATTCCATGTGCCTACAGCGGCTCAATTATAAGTTTATCAAGCGACGAGACTACTTTATGTGCGAAGAACTGAGACGAGGACGTTCTTCTTCGACCACTTTTTGTTACCGGCTGCCTTTAACCGCTTAGGAGTTTTACCGCCACCTACTGTATATAAGATGATGTGCTGATATAGCTGGAAGCGCAAAACTTTCTGTTTACAAGCAGAGGAAGATGCGCGCTGTACATACGCTTTTCAATTAGCGTATTTTCCGCACTATAAGGTGCACTTAAAAGCCTTTAATCTTCTCAAAAAACGACAGTGTTCCTTATAATCCGGAGCGCCATATATATGGATCATAATTTTATACGGTAGGTGGCGGTAAGACTCCTAAGCGGTAAGCAGCCGGTAACAAGAAGTAGACGAATGAGAACGTCCTCGTCTCAGTTCTCGCGCATGCACCCATAAGGAAGTAATGGAATAGTGGAATAAAGTCGTTATTTATGTTTTTTTCGCACAAAAAGTAGTCTCGTCGCTTGATAAACTTATAATTGAGCCGCTGTAGGCACATGGAATATTTAAACCTTTTCTTTAATGACTTTATGGGCCGTCAAGAGCTCGTTTTTTGAGAAGATTAAAGGCTTTTAAGTGCACCTTATAGTGCGGAAAATACGCTAATTGAAAAGCGTATGTACAGCGCGCATCTTCCTCTGCTTGTAAACAGAAAGTTTTGCGCTTCCAGCTATATCAGCACATCATCTTATATACAGTAGGTGGCGGTAAAACTCCTAAGCGGTTAAAGGCAGCCGGTAACAAAAAGTGGTCGAAGAAGAACGTCCTCGTCTCAGTTCTTCGCACATAAAGTAGTCTCGTCGCTTGATAAACTTATAATTGAGCCGCTGTAGGCACATGGAATATTTAAACCTTTTCTTTAATGACTTTATGGGCCGTCAAGAGCCAGTCCCTTAGGCAGTCTATCTAGGACTGATCCAGCTCTCAGATTCAATCAAAAATATCTTTATTTGTGTTCCGAAGATGAACGAAGGTCTTACGGGGTTGGAACAGCATGGGGGTGAGTAATAAATGACTTAATTTTAATTTTTGGGTGAACTAACCCTTTAAAAGTGAACAACTCCTTTAAGTCTGTTTTGTTGTTGCCGAGCCAAAATCACAAGTCGGATCACTTGGAGAAGTAACAGCACACCTCTCTGCACAATTTTGAGGTGGCGTTCTTGCCCGTAGCACTTACAGCACAGGATGAATGACACACAGAGGTAATTCATGAATTACTCAGGAGTAGATATTTGAAGTTGGAGCAATAGTAAAAGTGATGCTTGTTAACATTTGCAAGCTCTTTTGTGCTCGGTGTGTACATGGTGTCTCATTTGTTTCCCTCAGTTGAGGCGTCCTGGTCTGTTCGGAGCGTCTGTGACCTCGCTGTTGGTTTAGCCAGAAGAGGCCAGCATCGGTCAGGCCTGTCCTTCACTAATTGATCCCTCTTACATAAGAAAGGGATCCTGAGCATAGCAGCTCTAATCCCACCCTCTTTCTGCCAGCTCACACACACACAATCGTATACATAACCAATCAAAGCTGTCCATGGCCCTGTTTTATAAAACAGTCCAATCAGATGTGAGATTGATGGAAAGACTCTTGGATGTCCATGCGACAGCAGTCACATGTTATATATAGATATTGTATGTGAACTCATACGGGGATCATCATATTAGCGCGACCTTATGCACACTTTCATCTGAATGAATATCTGTGCTTACTTAGTAAGTTTGAAGATGGTCAAGGCAGGGCGAGCCGTGTCGGGTCACAGGGTTGACGTGGCGCACGGGCCCCCCTCGGGATCAGTAAATCACATCCTGGATTTGCTGTGTTCTCAACGGGCGGTCAGCCAGGACAAGGTTAACCCTTTCAGAACGTCAGTGTGACCGTGTTTATCACAGTCGTAATCATCCCCGCGGCGCAATGTCATACGGAGCATGAACGCCATGTGTCATGGAGCGTTATGTCACACTGGCCATCAAGCCGCACGTCTGCTTAAATTCACCAAACTCCTCTCATCTGCCAATTTACTGACTGAATCGGCCTGTTTAATGGAGTTTTAAAAAATTTCACATATAATAGTTCAAATAAAAGTTCAAAATTATCAAATGAATTATATAAGATTAATTAAATAAACTGGTAGCACTTTATTTTACACTCCTGTTCCCAATGTATGTACATACTATGTAATTATTATAATATGTACAATAACTGGGTAAAAACTAGTTACTAACCCTGTTTAATTAAATTATTTGAAAATAAAAAATATATTCATACTTTAATTTAAATGTATAAAATGTATTGAATGTATGAATAATTTATTATTATTTTAGTAGTTCAGGATTTTTTTTTTACGTTTTAGTAATCAATGAGTGATGATTTGTTGGTACAAGAAGGCATTTAGGCAAGGCAAGTTTATTTATATAGCACATTTCATACACAATGGCAATTCAAAGTGCTTTACATAGAAGAAATTAAAATAATCAAAAGAAATCAGAATAATTAAAACAGTTTAGAATAAAAAATAAGAAATAATGAAAAATAAAAATTATGATAAAAATAAAATACAGTAAATTAAAACCATTTAAAATAAAATGAAGTGCAGTAAGAGTCGGACGAACAGTGGCACAGTGCTCATTCAGTAAATGCACAGCTAAACAGATGTGTTTTGAGTCTGGATTTGAATGTGATTACTGTAGGAGCACACCTGATCTCTTCTGGAAGCTGGTTCCAGCTGCGGCTGCCATAATGGCTAAAAGCAGACTCTCCATGCTTAGAGTGAACCCTTGGTATTTCTAGCTGATGTGATCCTAATGATCTGAGTGATCTGTTGGGTTTATATTCAGTGAGCATATCTGCAATATATTGAGGTCCTAACCCATTAAATGATTTATATACCAGTAATAATACTTTAAAATCAATCCTAAATGTAACTGGCAGCCAGTGTAAAGACCTGAGGACTGGTGTGATGTGTTCATATTTTCTGGCAGCAGCATTCTGTATGAGCTGCAACTGTCTTATGGTCTTTTTGGGAAGGCCAGTGAGGAGGCCATTACAGTAATCCACCCTGCTGGTGATGAAAGCATGCACAAGTTTCTCTAAGTCTTGACTGGAAACAAAGCATCTAATTCTTGAAATATTTTTCAGATGATAGTATGCTGATTTAGTTATTGCTTTGACATGACTATTGAAACTAAGGTCTGACTCTAGAGACACACCAAGATTCCTGACTTGATTTTTAGTTGTTAGGTATGCATTCACCATGAGAACTTCATCTTTGTTTCCAAACGCAATAACTTCAGTTTTGTCTTTGTTTAACTGCAGAAAGTTTTGACGCATCCAACCGTTTACTTCATCAATACATTGGCACAGGAAGTCAATGGGGCTGTAGTCGTTTGGCGATAGGGCTAAGTAGAGCTGTGTGTCGTCTGCATAGCTGTGGTAAGCGATTTGGTTCTTTTTCATTATTTGGCTCATTGGGAGCATATACAGGTTGAATAGGAGTGGCCCAAGAATCGAGCCCTGAGGGACTCCGCAAGTCATGGATGTCCACTCAGACTTATGTTCTCCCATACTCACAAAATAACCTCTCCCTTCTAAGTATGACCTGAACCATTTTAGGACTATCCCAGAAAGCCCCACCCAGTTTTCCAGCCTGTCAAGAAGTATGTCGTGATCAACAGTGTCAAATGCAGCACTGAGGTCGAGTAGTACCAACACGGATAATTTGCCTGTATCAGTATTTAAGCGAATATCGTTTATTATCTTTATGAGAGCTGTCTCCGTGCTGTGACGCGATCGGAAACCAGATTGAAAATTGTCAAAATATCAATTTAAGCTTAAAAATTTGTTCAGCTGATTGAAGACAACATTTTCAATGATCTTGCCTATGAAAGGAAGATTTGAGATCGGTCTATAATTGCTCAAGATGGTCTTATCCAGATTGCTCTTTTTCAGGAGGGGCTTGACAACTGCAGTTTTCAGGGAGTTCGGAAAACTCCCAGAGCGAAGTGAGGCATTTACCACTTCTAGGAGATCTGCTTCTAAACAGTTTAACACACTTTTGAAAAAAGATGTGGGAAGTGTGTCAAGGGCGCAGACATTAATTTACATTAATGTTAACATAAACAACAAACATGTTTAGCATTTACACATTTAGTAATGTAGGTTAATTAATAAATATACCATTGCTCATTGATAATTAATGTTCATGCATAATTCATTAAATAATTATTTTACCTTTGCACGTTCTAGATAACCTATATTATAAAATGGTGTATATTGCTTTATAATACCTAATGTTAATGAATTAGAATTGGAATCAATTAATTAAATTGTTAGTAAAAATGTTTCTTATGCTCAACCAAGACTGCATTGATTTGACTAAAAATGCAGTAAAACATAATATTGTGAACTACTATTATAATTTAAAAACTTTTCTGTTTGAATATATTGTGAAATGTAATTTATTCCTGTGATGCGTTACTCCAGTCTTCAGTGTCACATGATCCTTCACTCTAATATGATGATTTGCTGCTCATGAAACATTTCTTATTATATTCTCAGACATGAAAACAGATGTGCTGCTTAATATTTTTGTGGAAACCATGAAACATTGTTTTTTATGCTTTCATTTTGAATGTCTGTTACTTTTGATCAATATAATGTGTTCTTGCTGAATAAATGATTAATTTCATTGAATGATAGTGTATCATTGTAGAGTGTAAATGTAGAGATTTGTATAGTAGTAGTTGTAGTTTTGTTTTGTTTGATGAAAGTTGGTTTGGCTCTTATTTGTTGAAGCACAAAGTGTAGTCTGGCTCTGTTTGTGTTTAGTGTCCACCTGAATATAGATACCAGAGCAGAGGAGGCTCAGATAGAGTGACAGGATCCGTGCTCATGCAATCCGAGCGCCACAGATCTGGTAACGTTTTTCTGAGAATGAAAGGAATGGTTGGTACTCCAGAAAACGGGGCAAATATGACGCCTGAGAGTTTGGAGAATTGGTGTGTCGTCTCAAATGTGGTTTCGCACATGACGTATGCCCTGGCTTCAAAGTGTTAAATGTACCAACCTCACCGTCCTTCTGGGAGTTTAGTTTGGCTTTTGTGTCATTCTGTCTTTAATTATGGAGACGCAACTGGTTGTTCTTCAAGGAAGCCGCCGGTTAAGGTTTCAAAATAGGTTGCGTTTGACATGAGTGTTTTTAAAATCGCTGTTTAATGGTTTAAGAACACCAGTGGGGGTTCTTGAGGATTTTAGGTTTCAGAATCACACTAAGCTTTTTATTGCCAATTTATTTATTTCATATTAGTTTTGATATCAAGCAGTTTTTTATTTATGTGGTTGTAACTTGTATCTTTATGATTGTCAGCACTGATTGATTTGACTGCATTGACATTATTGGATAAGAACTGATTTTTTTTCCAGAGCTGCTTTATAGTTTATTTGAACTCATTTCATAATTAAAACACTTTGCACAGTTATTGAACTGAACTGGTCAGAAAACACATCATATTTTCTCATGATATCTAATACACGTCAGCTGATTTCTTTAAGAGCCTGAAAATGGTTTGAAAAAGGATTTGCTCTCTAAACCCTTCTTTTCCAAGAGCTACTCTGCTCTGATTGGTCAGATGACCCAGTCTGCTGTGATTGGTCTACTCAGCTCTGATTGGTCAGATGGCCCAGTCTGCTGTGATTGGTCTACTCTGTTCTGATTGGTCAGGCGGCCCAGTCTGTTGTGATTGGTCTACTCTGCTCTGGTTGGTCAGATGACCCAGTCTGTTGTGATTGGTCTACTCTACTCTGATTGGTCCGATGACCCAGTCTGTTGTGATTGGTCTACTCTACTCTGATTGGTCAGATGACCCAGTCTGCTGTGATTGGTCTACTCTGCTCTGGTTGGTCAGGCGGCCCAGTCTGTTGTGATTGGTCTACTCTGCTCTGGTTGGTCAGATGACCCAGTCTGTTGTGATTGGTCTACTCGGCTCTGATTGGTCAGATGACCCAGTCTGTTGTGATTGGTCTACTCTACTCTGATTGGTCAGATGGCCCAGTCTGTTGTGATTGGTCTACTCTGCTCTGATTGGTCAGGCGGCCCAGTCTGTTGTGATTGGTCTACTCTGCTCTGGTTGGTCAGATGACCCAGTCTGTTGTGATTGGTCTACTCGGCTCTGATTGGTCAAATGGCCCAGTCTGTTGTGATTGGTCTACTCAGCTCTGATTGGTCAGATGACCCAGTCTGTTGTGATTGGTCTACTCTACTCTGATTGGTCAGATGACCCAGTCTGCTGTGATTGGTCTACTCTGCTCTGATTGGTCAGGCGGCCCAGTCTGTTGTGATTGGTCTACTCTGCTCTGGTTGGTCAGATGACCCAGTCTGTTGTGATTGGTCTACTCGGCTCTGATTGGTCAAATGGCCCAGTCTGTTGTGATTGGTCTACTCAGCTCTGATTGGTCAAATGGCCCAGTCTGTTGTGATTGGTCTACTCTGCTCTGGTTGGTCAGATGACCCAGTCTGTTGTGATTGGTCTACTCGGCTCTGATTGGTCAGATGACCCAGTCTGTTGTGATTGGTCTACTCTACTCTGATTGGTCAGATGGCCCAGTCTGTTGTGATTGGTCTACTCGGCTCTGATTGGTCAGATGACCCAGTCTGTTGTGATTGGTCTACTCTACTCTGATTGGTCAGATGGCCCAGTCTGTCATGATTGGTCTACTCTGCTCTGATTGGTCAGATGACCCAGTCTGTTGTGATTGGTCTACTCTACTCTGATTGGTCAGATGGCCCAGTCTGTTGTGATTGGTCTACTCTACTCTGATTGGTCAGATGGTCCGGTCTGTTGTGATTGGTCTACTCTACTCTAATTGGTCAGATGGCCCAGTCTGTTGTGATTGGTTTACCGCCTACATTGTGTGTCTCAAACGAAAAGCCCATTACCATCGCTGAATTAAATTCCAGCATGAGTCGTCATCATTTGGAAATCTTGCAAAGTGGATTTGCTTTCACAGCACAGAAATCAGCGTCTTTTCTACATGACCACAACACGAACCAAACGCTTCCAGGGCGGGGCAAAGAAGACGCTGTTCGCGGGCAGCCAATGAAGAGCATAGGCTGGCCTTATCCAAATTTGTTTCATTGTTGTGTAGGTTTGTAACAGGAAGTGAGACTGGAATTACTGACGACTCGTTTCAGCAGTTCAGAATCGATTCTTTCTTTTAGGAGAATATAACTTTATTTGCTGTGCACTTTGATCTTTAAAACTATGCAAACCTTTTACATTCACAAACAGCTGTATTACACGTTGTATAAAAGGTAATATCCGAAAAGCATAATAGGGGCACTTTAACTATTAAACCCACTTCTATCCTTCAGGGTCGAGTGGAAGTAGAGGCTGGAAACGAGAATATGAAGTTTGAGGCCGGTCCTTTCTCTTATTATGGAGTCATGGCACTGAATACACCATGCCTGGGTGAGTATTTATTTATACTAACTCTTGTTTTCTCTAATCGAAGAGCGTGATATATTCCCACTTACAGGGTTACTCCATCCAAAAATGAAAGTCTTGTCATAATTTACTTACCCTCATGTTGTTCCTTTTTCTTCTGCGCAACAAAAAATAAGATATTTTGAAAATGTTGGAGCCTATTGACAAAAAAACAGTTATCTTATCTTAATTACAGAACAAAAAAATGAGACGAGTTAAAGATGTTCCATGATCTTTTCAAGTTTCATAAACAATGCAAAAAGTGCCTTATAATTCAGCATTACTACAATAATTGCAATAGAAACAGACAGAAATGATATGGGTAACTCAGGTTGATAAGTGGTGAAGATGATGTGTCTGATGTTTGCCACCCAGCCATAGATCAGTGGTCAGCGGTGTTTTTTTTAGAGTCACCCAATGCAGACACAAGCACTTTGTCATGATCTGTCATTGTCAGTTTAGTCTGGTGTTATATAATAACTCTGTAGCTGCCGGCAGGGGACTGTACGGACACATCTGACCGCAGGGACATCTGCTGGCCGAGTGTCACTATGTGTAATGATGCTGTCTGATTCTGTTCCTTCACCCCCAGCTGTGCCGCAGTCCATCCATGTGCCAAACATCACATTTATGTGCTTAGCATGTGTCTGAATGTGTGCCTGCATGTGCTTTGAGAAACACTGTATAAGAGACCAAAGGTCATGTGACTGATTCTTTGGCATTTACTTGTCCACTGGTCCTTCCAAAGCCTGTATTATTTTCTTTAAACCTTGAAATCCAAAAGGAGATATTTAGCAGAAATACCCTAAGCTGATTTTCTCAGCCCAACACTACTGGATGGTAATTCATTCACACTTTTAAGCTTCAAAAACTCCATGAAGGTCTGTATGTGTATTCCAAGACTTCTGAAGACAATTGCATTTTTTTAAATTAGCTTCCAAAACATTCCATGCAATAATTTGATGCAATTCAGCCCATTGTAGGCTCATTTAATTAAATTAATAATAATAAAGACTTAATTTTTGGATCGTTACCGTTACAAAAAATATTTTGAGTATAAAAATATTGTGAAAGTAGTCATTTTAGTCATACATTGACTGTGGCTGCATTTATGTAGCACTCAACCCGTCACTTTTATAGCCTTTTATCCTGTAATTGTGGACAAATGTGGGCACAGAGGACTCGGGTGTGATCCTAATTTTTATTTATTATAAATGTTATCACTGTCTTCGATAAAGTTTTGTCGAACACATGGTGTTTTTTTTTTATTTTGGGGGTATTTTTGAATTTATTTACTTCAAAAAGGGCCATATTTTCTATAAAAAAAAAAATGTGTGTGTTCAGGAGGCAAACTTAGGAAAAATAGCCAAGTCTTGTACCGCTCAGATCAAGGGAAGTATTTTTTAAAAAATAAATCAAAACTATTTTGCCCACATTTGTCCAGGATACGCTTTTAGGGTTAATCAAAAATATAATAAAAAAATATTGTAAAATATATTATTACAATTTGAAAGAACTATTTTCTATATTAATATATTTGAAGATTTTATTCCTGTGATCAAAGCTGAATTTTCAGCATCATTACTCCAGTATTCAGTGTCACATGATCCTTCATATTAGAAATCTTTCTAATATTATCAATTGTTATATGTACTCCGTTATTATTAATAATGGTTATTATTATTATCAGTGTTAAACCATTTTGGTGCTTAGTATATATTTTTATTTTTTTGTGGAAAAAAATCTTGAGACTCTAAACTGTAGAAAACATATTTGTATGGCTCTCGTGGTTTGGTCTTTGGTCATACTTTGTGTGAACTATTACCTCAAATTTGCGTTTTTTTTTATTATTATTTCGCATTTTTTCGATTTATTGTGACACAATGTTACACATCTTGTGTTTAATAAATAAGTAAAATAAGACAGTGTTGCTTTACATGTGGAATGAATAATTTTTATTTTATTTTATTAATGCAGTGACAGTGCAGTGTGGTTCCCAGAGAGGCAGTGTCGTTCCCAGAGAGAGGCAGTGTGGTTCCCAGAGAGGCAGTGTCGTTCCCAGAGAGAGGCAGTGTCATTCCCAGAGAGAGGCAGTGTCATTCCCAGGGAGGCAGTGTCGTTCCCAGAGAGAGGCAGTGTCGTTCCCAGAGAGAGGCAGTGTCGTTCCCAGAGAGAGGCAGTGTCGTTTCCAGAGAGAGGCAGTGTCATTCCCAGGGAGGCAGTGTCGTTCCCAGAGAGAGGCAGTGTCGTTCCCAGAGAGAGGCAGTGTCGTTCCCAGAGAGAGGCAGTGTCATTCCCAGGGAGGCAGTGTCGTTCCCAGAGAGAGGCAGTGTCGTTCCCAGAGAGAGGCAGTGTCGTTTCCAGAGAGGCAGTGTCGTTCCCAGAGAGAGGCAGTGTCGTTCCCAGAGAGAGGCAGTGTCGTTCCCAGAGAGGCAGTGTCGTTCCCAGAGAGGCAGTGTCGTTCCCAGAGAGAGGCAGTGTCGTTCCCAGAGAGAGGCAGTGTCGTTCCCAGAGAGGCAGTGTCGTTCCCAGAGAGGCAGTGTCGTTCCCAGAGAGAGGCAGTGTCGTTCCCAGAGAGAGGCAGTGTCGTTCCCAGAGAGAGGCAGTGTCGTTCCCAGAGAGAGGCAGTGTCGTTCCCAGAGAGGCAGTGTCGTTCCCAGAGAGAGGCAGTGTCGTTCCCAGAGAGAGGCAGTGTCGTTCCCAGAGAGGCAGTGTCGTTCCCAGAGAGAGGCAGTGTCGTTCCCAGAGAGGCAGTGTCGTTCCCAGAGAGAGGCAGTGTCGTTCCCAGAGAGGCAGTGTCGTTCCCAGAGAGGCAGTGTCGTTCCCAGAGAGGCAGTGTCGTTCCCAGAGAGAGGCAGTGTCGTTCCCAGAGAGGCAGTGTCGTTCCCAGAGAGAGGCAGTGTCGTTCCCAGGGAGGCAGTGTCGTTCCCAGAGAGAGGCAGTGTCGTTCCCAGAGAGAGGCAGTGTCGTTCCCAGAGAGGCAGTGTCGTTCCCAGAGAGGCAGTGTCGTTCCCAGAGAGAGGCAGTGTCGTTCCCAGAGAGAGGCAGTGTCGTTCCCAGAGAGAGGCAGTGTCATTCCCAGGGAGGCAGTGTCGTTCCCAGAGAGAGGCAGTGTCGTTCCCAGAGAGGCAGTGTCGTTCCCAGAGAGAGGCAGTGTCGTTCCCAGGGAGGCAGTGTCGTTCCCAGAGAGAGGCAGTGTCGTTCCCAGAGAGGCAGTGTCGTTCCCAGAGAGAGGCAGTGTCGTTCCCAGAGAGAGGCAGTGTCGTTCCCAGAGAGAGGCAGTGTCGTTCCCAGAGAGAGGCAGTGTCGTTCCCAGAGAGAGGCAGTGTCGTTCCCAGGGAGGCAGTGTCGTTCCCAGAGAGAGGCAGTGTCGTTCCCAGAGAGAGGCAGTGTCGTTCCCAGAGAGGCAGTGTGGTTCCCAGAGAGGCAGTGTCGTTCCCAGAGAGAGGCAGTGTCGTTCCCAGAGAGAGGCAGTGTCGTTCCCAGAGAGAGGCAGTGTCGTTCCCAGAGAGGCAGTGTCGTTCCCAGAGAGAGGCAGTGTCGTTCCCAGGGAGGCAGTGTCGTTCCCAGAGAGAGGCAGTGTCGTTCCCAGGGAGGCAGTGTCGTTCCCAGAGAGAGGCAGTGTCGTTCCCAGAGAGAGGCAGTGTCGTTCCCAGGGAGGCAGTGTCGTTCCCAGAGAGGCAGTGTCGTTCCCAGAGAGAGGCAGTGTCGTTCCCAGAGAGGCAGTGTCGTTCCCAGAGAGAGGCAGTGTCGTTCCCAGAGAGGCAGTGTCGTTCCCAGGGAGGCAGTGTCGTTCCCAGAGAGAGGCAGTGTCGTTCCCAGGGAGGCAGTGTCGTTCCCAGAGAGGCAGTGTCGTTCCCAGGGAGGCAGTGTCGTTCCCAGGGAGGCAGTGTCGTTCCCAAGGAGGCAGTGTCGTTCCCAGAGAGAGGCAGTGTCGTTCCCAGAGAGAGGCAGTGTCGTTCCCAGGGAGGCAGTGTCGTTCCCAGGGAGGCAGTGTCGTTCCCAGGGAGGCAGTGTCGTTCCCAGGGAGGCAGTGTCGTTCCCAGAGAGAGGCAGTGTCGTTCCCAGAGAGGCAGTGTGGTTCCCAGAGAGGCAGTGTGGTTCCCAGAGAGGCAGTGTCGTTCCCAGAGAGGCAGTGTGGTTCCCAGAGTGGCAGTGTCGTTCCCAGAGAGGCAGTGTCGTTCCCAGAGAGGCAGTGTGGTTCCCAGAGAGGCAGTGTCGTTCCCAGAGAGGCTCCCAGAGAGGCAGTGTGGTTATGGGTTTTGGAGGCAGTGTGGTTCTGAGAGGCAGTGTGGTTCTCAGAGGCAGTTGGTTCTGAGAGGCAGTAATATTTGTTGGAGCCAGTGTGGTGGTTTTGAGAGCCAGTACAGTTATTGGAGGCAGTGTCGTTCCCAGAGAGGCAGTGTCGTTCCCAGAGAGAGGCAGTGTCGTTCCCAGAGAGAGGCAGTGTCGTTCCCAGAGAGAGGCAGTGTCGTTCCCAGAGAGAGGCAGTGTCGTTCCCAGAGAGAGGCAGTGTCGTTCCCAGAGAGAGGCAGTGTCGTTCCCAGAGAGGCAGTGTGGTTCCCAGAGAGGCAGTGTCGTTCCCAGAGAGAGGCAGTGTCGTTCCCAGAGAGAGGCAGTGTCGTTCCCAGAGAGAGGCAGTGTCGTTCCAGAGAGAGGCAGTGTCGTTCCCAGGGAGGCAGTGTCGTTCCCAGAGAGAGGCAGTGTCGTTCCCAGAGAGAGGCAGTGTCGTTCCCAGAGAGAGGCAGTGTCGTTCCCAGAGAGAGGCAGTGTCGTTCCCAGAGAGGCAGTGTCGTTCCCAGAGAGGCAGTGTCGTTCCCAGAGAGAGGCAGTGTCGTTCCCAGAGAGAGGCAGTGTCGTTCCCAGAGAGAGGCAGTGTCATTCCCAGGGAGGCAGTGTCGTTCCCAGAGAGAGGCAGTGTCGTTCCCAGAGAGGCAGTGTCGTTCCCAGAGAGAGGCAGTGTCGTTCCCAGGGAGGCAGTGTCG